CAAAAAGAAATGGTGCAAAGTTGAAAGTCCAACTAATATGCGTTAGGAAATGAAAGAGGAGAAGACAAAAACAAAAGATTCTTTAATTTAGGGAACGCAATATATAGGGAGATTCTTTTTAGATCTTGAAATGACCAATTTGCTACAGTATAAATACAAATTCATGACAGTGGCAGGAAATAAAGAAGGAAAAAAAGTAGAAATCCATCTTCGATTCAACTGCGTTGCATGGGAATAAATAGAAAAAACATTGTACATTTGTATGTTGGTGTCAATCAAACTTAGTGCTCATCCCAATTCAATTTGTCCCCTTCTGTTAAAGCCACATCTGCATCTTCTTCTTTTTAACCATATGGTGTTCGGTCCGATTAATTTAAATTCGTATCGAGAGAAAGTATTTTTAATTATGAATTTTCTTTACTTTGATTAAAGATAAATAGAACAAATCCATCTCATCACAATTTTTGTTTTCTGTCATTGTAAGTGAGCTAGTTTAATTTCCACTGCAAAAGCGGAAGCATAACAAAGGATTTATCTTTCTTTTTGTTGCCTACAAATTAATAGTATGCAATTAGAATTTAGAAGTGATAGCCATTAATCAATATTTCTCATGTTTAGCTAGGAAAAGAAACCATGATCGAACACGGCTCGTACAATATGTGTGTATGTTTATCTAAATTCTTAAAGATATATGTAAATATGCATGGACCACGTTAATCATAAAAGACTTAGAGCTCGTTTGTTCAAAGTAGCAGTTTGTGTTTGGCTGATTCATTAAGTAGTGCTATTTGTAAGCAAATTGTGTTTGACCTAAAAGTACTTTTGAGTATCAAATTACGAAAAAGAACCGTAAAGGTTCAGCTTGCAATTAGTGTTACTTACAAGAGATAAATGAATTTCAATATTTGTTATACTAAAATTATAATTTAAAGATTTTCATCGATAAATATAGCTATTCCAAAGCGATAATATTGGGGCATGTAGTATTACTTATTGTTTACATGACGATTTAAAAAATTAAAATACATCATATCAATATAAATTAAAAATCTACTCTTATAAATCATATAAAAGAAGAGATATATTTATGCTAGAGAAAATATTTCAAAGATAAATAGGAGAAAGAGAATAAAAATATGATAAAATAAAAACGAGAAGAAATGTATGATAAAAAGAGGGGAAAAAAACTAACGATGAATAATTTGAAAAATATAAATTTAATGTAAGAATATTTTTGTATTGAATGAATTAATTTTTGGCTTCTGCTTCTGATTCTCATCCCAAATAAATATATAATACGTGTTTGCACATTACCTTTTATCACTTAACTTGATTAGTTGAATTTGTAATCATCTCATTTTATCACCATAGTAAGTTATATGATTTGCTGTAACTGTAAAGTATTTTCCATGTTAATCCTCCATCTCTATACACAAGTTTCATTCTGTAATGGATTTTTATTTCCCTTTTCGTTTATTTCTAAAAGTTGCAGATTCACTTCAACTTTGACATGACCAGATAAAAAGAGTTATTGACAGCGTACGGATTTATTAGCGAAAGAGGACCCAAAATGACGTTGTATAATCGTTCTAGAAATAATAATCGAAAAATATATAAATTTTATATACTTTTACGGCAACCGAATACAAATAATTTTAGGCGTGATCTTTGCCCAAATAAAATCGGCTGTCTTTCGCAATCACTGTTCAAAATCCAGCGCGCACTATGAAAATCGAACACGAAAATTATTCAATTCACGTGCTAATTGCTCAGTCCATTACCTCATTTATCTGCAGGGTTTATTAGGATTTAAGAAGCCTTAACAACTCCCACCAAATTAACAAGCTCTGAAAGCTGGAAAATACCTGATAAAAATCTGTAATATTAATACCACTGACCAATACTACCACGTGAAAATAGTACGGGCTAGTCAGTTTTTGAACTGATAATTGAAAAATAGCCAGTATCTGTAAGGTCATTGAAAAATAGCCACTATTTTGCGGTAACACTGAATGTTCCTGCATAATATACTGGAGATCGATGCATCTGTGTATGAACTTCCAGCATCTCCAGCACGCAAAAAGTTCCAGCATAATATACTGGAGATTGGAGCACATGTGTATGAATGATGCTGGAAGTCCAGTATATTAAGCTGGAAGTTCGCATATAAAAAATTCGAACTCCAGTATATTATGCTGGAATATTTTCAGGCTTTTGGACAATGTTTTCGTTCAGATTTATCTTTACATGAAAAGTAACTAAATTTCGATTACTTTTAAAACGGTGCTCTTTTTCAATTACCACTTGTAAATCTGGTTTTTTTTTTTTAATTTCACCCTACAAGCTTGCCATGCCATCTAATGGTATCAAACTATCAATTAATGAGAGTCTACTACAAAATAAATGTGAGTTTAATTTTAAAGTCTACCATGTAGTAGGAAGAAAAAAAAATGTACGTAACACCACTGCGACGAAAGAATTACAAATGTAATACTAGTAGTAGTATTTAGCACATACGTAAAGTATTTGATCAAACTGAATTCAATAGAGATATCAATATATGCATGGATCACGTTAATCCAGAGACGATTTACTCGTTGTTTACACCGAATGATAAATGTATAATGTGATTGTATATTACTTTTTATCACTTAATTTTGATTAATTGAATACATTATCAACTCATTTTTATTACCTAATCATGTTAAGTTAATATAATTTGGTGTAAGTTAAGCATTTTCCATGTTCCTCCAGCTGTATACACAAGTTCCACTCTGCAATAGATTTTTCTTTTCCCTTTCATTTGTATGTATACTTTTCTAAAGGAGTTATTGACAATGTACGGATTTTTTATCAAAAGGCCTAAATTAAAATAAAATTGGCTCCCTTTCGCAAAGGGATATTATCATTTTTAACCCGTGCCAGAAACTATTTACATTTTGTAGTCGAAAATGAGTATAAAATTTGTATATAACATACAGAATGTATATATACTAAAAATATACAAAAAAATATATATTTTTTCGACTATAAAATTTTAAGAGCGGTTATACAGTGTCATTTTTCCTTTCGAAATCACTGTCCAAATCCAGCGCGCACTATCAACATAGAACACGAAAATTATTCAATTCACGTGCTGATAACTCCCATTTCCTCATACGTTATATGCTAACTGCATGGTTTATTAGGGTTTAAGAGGCCTTAACAACTCCCACCAAACAGGTCCTGAAAGCTGGAGAATATATAATAAAAATCTGAAATACTAAAACAAATGACCGACACCACCACGGCTTATAATCTAGTGTTATCAGTGAGAGTACCAAAAAATAATGGTAGAGTTCAATTTTCACAGTTTCCTTTTCTCTTCTGTGATCCAGTAGCGGAGGTAGAATTTCCGTTAAGGGGTTTAAAAAAAAAATTAAAAATCGAAAGAAAAAGTAACCAATTGGGACTGAACCAACAACCTTGGCGCCCTTGAACACTAAGCTAAACCTTTGCAATGTGTCAACGGGATTCAAAATATATAATATACAGGTACAAAAACGAATTTCGTCTTATATGTACAATGTAATTTTCCAACGAAGGAAGTTCGGGTGAACCCCTTCTGCCCCCTAATTCCGCCCCTGCTATGATCCCTAGATGCAACAACAATAACATACCCAGTATAATCCCACATAGTGGGGTCTGGTGAGGGTAGTGTGTACGCAGACCTTATCCCTACCTTTATGGAGGTAGAGAGGTTGTTTTCAATAGACCCTCGGCTCAAGCAAGCATAGGTACCACAAAAATAACAAGAAACAAGACAGGATAACACCAAAAAACCATGTAAAAGCAGCATACACAACAAGATAGTAAGATGATCGGAACAAAAAACAGGTATTTAAATAAGCCTACAACCAACCAAATGTGAGAGTACGTACTAATCCTACCGGTATGAATAATCTAGACTACCTAACCTACTATCCTAATCTTCGACCTCCAAATCTTCCTATCACGGGTCATGTCCTCGGTCAGCCGTAGCTGCGCCATGTCATGCTATGATCCCTAGATGTAATAGGAAAAAATTATGGATGTAATACCGCTGCCACAAAAGAATATATTTGTAATAGAGTAGTATTTAGCACCTACATAAAGTATTGGATCAGGCTATGCTCAAAAGTGACCAGGAAAAGAAGAGGGTTTTCAATTCAAGTTTAATAAAGGAAAAGACTGAAGATGGAATTCTGGATTGTTTCATACTCCTCCAAACTGTCAAAGTGTTTTCTTTATGTTTTTAAAGTGGAAAAAAGTATTAAAACTAAAGTTTGGCGATCCCAAGGTGCTTACTTGCACGCTTGCACTAGAAAACAATGAAAGAAAAAAGCAGAGCAGCAGTAACGACAAAATCTTGAGCTTCTCTATCAAGCAAAGAGCAAACTGCAACGCAAAAAGGGGGAAAACAAAGCTAAAGTGAGATCAATGGGGGACTTTTGTTCTGGCTATTCACACGCACCAGTTTCTTTAAAAATTACAACAAACAAAGCATAGCAGAAGTAGAACAAAAGGGCAGCCCAGTGTACTAAGCCCTCGCTATGTGCGGGGTCCAAGGAAGGGCCGGACCGTAAAGGTTTATCATACGCAGCTTTATCCTGCATTTCTGCAAGAGGCTGTTTCCACGGCTCGAACTCATGACTTCCTGGTCACATAGCAACAACTTTACCAGAAGTAGAACATCTTTAAAAAGGCATCTGAAATGATGATGGAAACAGCAAGAGCTCACTTGCCTTCTTCTCCTCTCCACTATGGGCGGAGCTAGGGGGCGAAAAGATCTTTGAAAAATTATATTGTGTATATATATGGTTAATTTTTTTCTAAAGTATATATATATGAGACGTTGAATGCCCCTCTTGGTTAAGATCCTGCACCATTATTCTCTTTTTCTAACATGATTAATCAATTGGCCACCTTTTCCTCTTTCAGAATCGACAGATAATTATAGTTAACTGCTCTTGAAATAGCATTAGCCCTTCAAACTAAAAGAACTTGATTAAACATTCTGTAATACTTAACTATGCCAAAACCTCCCACCACCTACTACAAATCCTCGAGGAAAACAAAAATTAAACAACAAAACTAGCTCCTTGTCACAAAACAAAACCAAAAAGAAGAAGATGGAAGGACTGATTCTCATACCACAAATTGATGAAAGCCCTATAGCTAAAGTTAATCAAAAAGGGGGTTCATTAACTGTGATTTATAGTTCATCTATTATTTCAGAAACTGCCATTCCAATTCTGGTGACACAACTGAGATTGCTGATAAGTGATAGCGCCATCTTGAGCTCATGCGTAACTGCTGCCACACTAACTCCAATGTTGCCTGCCATGGCACTGACCAAATGATGAGGATTTGCCATTGTGGCAGGCTGTGGAGGATGATACAAGCCTTGAAATTGCATATGGGATGATTCTGCGGCATTGAAAGAACCATGACCAGTGTGGAACGGCAGATAGGCAACATGAGGCGATTGTAATGTCCAGGCATGTTTTAGTATGAACCTGAGTCCAAACTAGGATGTTGTCTTTGATTCATCCACATTTCAGGTTTCAAGGAGCAAATCAATTCCCAATTATTTTCAGTCCCCAAACCAAGAACATTCCTAATAATTCGCAACTTGTAAACAATATTAACCTACAGATCAAAACAGCGATTGACGCATCTGACCCCAAATACTACGAGTCTACGATAACAAAAGTAGGAAGATGTTCGGATCTACATTTTCGTTCACATTTCTTGCACGTCTGCATCAGATTAAATTACAAGCAGCGACATTGTCTTTAGATTTCAGAAGATTGACAACTCACACCAACTCACAACTTTGAACTCGAGGAAATTCATCAGTGTAGGCCAAGGTCTATGACTCAAGCCAGCAGCTGCATTTCAATCCGTTCTTGCTGAAGTGGGGCTCCGTCCATTTCTCTATCAATCAGTATTTTTAAAGCAAAAAAAAGCAACACGAGAAGCAGAGTACACACAAAATGGACCAAAAATACATAATACCTAACATATATGAAGTTAGTACCTAAAATATCAAAGCGCAATTCAAATTACTAATTTCAGCATGCAGTACACTACAACAACAATATTAACCCAACAGCTCAAATTGGACGTAATAGCAACTTCAGAAGCAATATTGATATTCCATCTTCAATTAATCAAGAAGGAGAAAAAGGAAGTATAAAAAAAAAAGCAAAAGTAGCATAAGATGATGCGTTACAAATGGTAGAGAATTTGCATACTCAGAGTAGAAAAGAAGTCATTGTTTGAAGAACAAAAGAAGAGAAACAGAAGAAGTACAAGAAGATGAGTTAAAACTGCTCAAGAAGATAAAGAATGCTCAAGTGTACGTGGAGAGAAGTCCTAGTTGCGCAAGTAGAAAACTCCTTTCCCTTCTCTCCTTTTTGTCACCTATTTTCTTTCAAGTTTTGAAGTGGAGATGCGAAGATTTGATCACTTCGTGTTGGGACTACTTTGCGCATCACGATCTACAGCAGGTGTCACACACACCAAAATGATCACTACAATCATGTGAGGTTATATGCCCTCACTTCGCATTGTATTGACACTTTAAGCGACAGGGCAATGGTTTCTCGATAGTGTGGTTACTGTGTTGTATACAACTTATGACATGAAAGAAAAGCTGATTCTCGATAGTTAAAGTGAAAGGAATAAAGATACTCACCTGCGGATTAGGAACATAAAAATTAGTATCCTTGTACTTCAACCGGGATGAGTCTTCAACCCCTGTTGTACTGCCAATTACACCAGAAGTGTTAACGGCATAGCTAGTCAGACTAGTAAAAGTCCCTAAACCTGAAGTACTTCCTGTTGGGACAGGCTTGAATTGCTGGATTCCATACTTAAGCCCATTTGTGCTAAGATGAGAGCTAACTCCAGGCATCAGCAAGTAATTGCTTCCATATAGGGATGCGGATAGGTTGGGTTACTAGAATAGCCAGGCATACTCATTGGCATAAGATTAGCAAAATGGGAAACATGAACTTGGGGGTGCATCTGTGAAACATGTTGTGGCTGTTGTACATGCTGCAGCATTGGAATTGACGATGCAGAAATGCTACTCGTGGCATGTGAACAAAGGGCCTGCAGATGCAAAACATAACATGTAGGTCACAGAAAACATTAGAATAGAAATGGAGTTACAATCTTAAATGTGATAAAACCCAAGTTTAAAGAAATTGCAGGTATATATCCCTATCTGTGCAAACAAGTACAATCATAACTATAAGTGTTGCGGGGAGGGTCATCATGATTGCTTAAAAGGATCATACGTCTGCTTACATCCTATCCAGTAATACAAAGGGCAGAAGAAGTAAAAAGGAGCACGAACTCACTGGCAATCTAGGTAAATCAGGAGCATGTTCTGTTTTGACTTGGAGAGAGTATAAGACGCGCTGTTATCTGGAACTTACCCAACAATTGAGTAATTTTCCAAATCCAGAGCAGTTGAAGACTCTTCTTCTCTGTCATTTGATCATCTAAAGTTCCAAAAGATCCAGGAGATCTAGACCCTGAATTTCGAACACAATAGCTAGCTTTATCCAACTGCTCGCTCCCACCAGGTTCAGCACTCAAAGGCCTCAGTAACCAAAACTGACAAGCTGGCACTGTAATAAAATCATTTCAAGTATAGTCAAATTTACTGTTTGGAAAAAAAGAAAAAACGAAAGAAGCAGCTATATATTTACATTTCGCCATTTAAACACAACTACAAATGTTGAACAGAGAAGCATCGAAGTACTAGGAAATTCTATTACCAGTAAAGATACTTCATTGCCTTCTCCTTTTTTTCTTTGCCCCTTCAGACAGCTGAGAATACAACAAACATTCAAAGGTTTGGAAGGGGTAAAAATACGGGGGGGGGGGGGGGGGGGGTGGTTGTGGCATATGAAATAACCTGAAAGGAAAATGATGTATATAGAATATAAAACCAAAAAAAGGAAAAAATAGGGAGAAAGTGATATCCCTTCTACACGGATTTCATCTACCAACAACAAAGACGCAATTTTATAGACTTTCAAAGGCTGGTGGGATATTATTTCCGTTAACTTAGAGACTCAAACACTTATCCAAAGGACTACCAATAATACCACAGAATTCTATGCTCAGAAGTCACATTGCTGTCAAACAAGCTGTGCCTTACACTAACACATGTACAATTGTATATCAAATCCTGAACAGTAAAGGAGTAACTGTAGAATTCTATATTCGAGCACCTTGTGATACATTGAGTTTTAACTTTTTAAGCCAAAGGATCTCCACTTCCTTAGCTCTTTTCTCAGTAAGTACTATTACCTTTTAAGTCATGGCGTCGAGTATTAATATGACCACTTAATACTATCTAAATAGATAGGAGGATTCAACTGAATAGTAAGCCATTATATTGCATTCTAACTGAAACACTAACGAAATAAATTCATCTTCTCTTATTCTTTTTTTCTGGGGTTGGGAGATCTGCGGAACTGAAAGTTCCTCACGGCATAAAAATAATTCCACGAGTGAACAAATTTAGCATGAGAAAGTGTCTGACTCGTATGCCTCTCCAACATACTGTAAGAAATAGGAGACAACAAACCTTGGTGGTTCAGTGTGTGATACTTCGCCCAAATCCTTCGAAGATATTAAATCAGCATTAAAAACTGACAAAGCTCAGCCGACACCGGTCAGTGTCCAAAAATACAGCTTCTGAAGGTGTTCCAATAGCTCCAGGAAGATTGACAATTGAGTTCTGGTTCATCTTTGGCTTCCACTGAACAGCTATCTGGACAATAAATTGCAGTTTGCACATAAGTGAATCTAGATTTTCCTTATTTCGAGTAGACACCCGTTGGAACAGCACATTGTTCACAAATCGAGACATTTGGACCATTTGGTCATATTCGTTATTTGTTAATACTGCAATAAATACTGTCAAAATGCAACTTACAAATCGTATTCCAGATACGATTTCTTCAACAACAGACGCCAAAGTACAATATTGTATTCACTTCTTATACCACCTGTGAACGCCAGCTGCAAATACATAGAGACATCAATATACAGTAGCTTCCAATTTCAAACTAATCTATCACTAAATCTAAACAACTGCTTCAGTTTCAGTAATATTTACAACACAAGCAGCAAATAGGAGCTGTCATATCATCCCATGTTCATTAAGCTGATCACATTTAGCTATCAAAATATTTACATTAAATTGATCACATCAAAATATAAGCTGCCATATCATCCCATGTACATCAATATATTTACATTAAGCTGATCACATAAAAAATGCGCTGCCATATCATCCAATGTACACTGCAAGGTTGTGGCAGTCAGGGGTGTGGTGGATTACATTGTCGGGGTGGATTTGCTGGTTCCTCGGGCTAAGATGCACGACGTTTGTAAACTAGCCTTCTCTCTCTCTCTCTCTCTCTGTTCCTCAGAAGGGAAGTGGTTCCTCGGGTCATCATTCACAGATCCAACCGTCGTAACATACGAGGCCGATTCTTAAGACACTGCAGTGGGGGTATTATCAAAGATGAAAGATCGCTCAGGACGTGCAAGGAGACGTGTGTGTCATCGTCATCAACCATTTCACAGTACCATTCCCATCTCTTAATCATTGGAAGCACTAATACCCTAAACAAAGTAAAAGGGCAGCCCAGTGCACGAAGCATCCCGCGTTCATGGAGGGTCTGGGGAATGGCAGCACCCGAAGGGGTGTGATGTAGGCAGCCTACCCTGATGCTTGCATCAGGAGGCTGATTCCACGACACTATCACATAATTGAAAATTCTACGAAAAGCAAGGACTTAGTGTCAAACTATGATAAACTAGCTAGTCATGTAAGTCATTTATTTTAATTTCACTGCCACCAGTTCTACCATTTCTTTCAATATACAAAAGCAACTGCGATAACTGTACTGAGCATTTGAAACAGTAAACTGGAACCTAGGGAAGAGAAGCATATGATTAGCAACAATATAGAAATGCATCTAGGAACCAAAAATGAAAAGCAGAAAATGAACAGGAAACAGAAGAAAAGGTAGAAGAATACTATGAATCATGCTCATAACTCAAAGCAAGAGATAATATCAACAGATTGGTTAATGAATTGCCTAAAATCAAATGTTTTTGGAGGGGAATCTGGGGAGGGCTATTTCACTCCTACGGATTTTTTCTCAAACGAAAACGCATCACGAAGCCTCAGAAGGAATTTTATCTTTACTATAAAACAATCAAAATGAGCCGGCATTACAAATCGCATTTAACTATTTATAACTCTCATTTCGACATTGCGACTCACAGTAGCGCATTTGGTCACTGTACCTTATAATCCCTTTAGCGATTGCGACTTTTAAGAGCCAGTTTGGATTAGCTGATTGCTAAGGTGCTAAAAAGCAATTTTAAGTGATCTCATTTTATTTTGATTGCGACTTATAAATGTTCCTGGAATTTACAAATCTTTTTAAACACATTTATAAGTTACAAATACACATGCGATTCTAGGTCATCGCACTTGTCACATTAGGAGAAATTTTACTTTGTGTGTCATATGCCATGTCTTACTTGTGTGAGGCTGTTATTTAATGACATCTGTAATGTGTGGTCCCAGCTGTTCAACTTTTTCTCCTTCAATGTCGTTTCTTGAGTTCTTTCCTTTCTCCTTTGTTTTAATCTTTTCTTATTTCTTAACACTTCAACTTCCTCCTAACAGACCTATTCGATGGGTGTGCGACTCTAAGCTTTAGATTCAATGAACTGCTTGTGTTCTTTTTAAAATTGGGACACTGTGAGTCTCTCTCACTCACTCTTTAAAGTTTTGAGAAACCTTAACCCAGATAAATCTCCATGATATTCAAGAGTGAGAAAGAGATTACTAAAGAAGAAGATATTTGCTGAGAAAAAATCTGATTTTTTACTTTAGCTTTTCGTAAAATTGAAATCAACAAAATATTGCTCCGTAGCTACTCTGCCAATCTTAATTGAAATTTTTTACAGAAGTATTATTTTATGCCTTTTTATCATTTCATATAGAAAAAAAGGACAGAAGAACTCGGACAAAAAAAGAGAGGGAGAAAGGAAAAAAACTAAAATTATAGAGGTTGTATCTGCTTTTATTGGGTTTCATGAACAGTCTTAATTATATGTCAATGTTCTTTTTTTGGTAACAAATGTGAATATTACCATTACAACAAGAAAAATATTTTTTTCAACCTATGAGCCTCTAGTGTCTGAAACAAATACAGACACCAGATCTCCAAAATATATCAGTATTATCTATTTACATATTCTCTGAAACAACACTTTGCATATCCTATCTCTTCTTCCCCTATACACTATCTCCACTCTGTCTAGTATCTCTTTCCTAATTTGATCATTTACAAGATCTATGCTCACATTTACTTTCCTGAATATTTTTCAATTCCTTGCTTGCCAGGTATAATACAATATGGCACCCCATATACAGCAGCTACTATTTCCTTCTGAACTTGGCTCCATCTTCTTCTTTGGATCCATTTGATCGCCTTACTAGCTTCATTATTATGAATTTTGATATCCAACCAGCTACTCAATTTTTCTCTGAGCCCTGCTATCCATTTGCATTGTCCAAAGAGGTGAGTCTGAGTCTCAACCTGATTCTGATCACATAAGCAACATTTGTGATCTTCTACTTTTAACTGCATTCTCTGCATTCTCTCTTTGGTTAGCAATTTGTTTTGACATGCCAACCATACTATAAATCTCTGTTTAGGAAGTATTATTTTACTCCATATTAGCTTTACTTCCCTTGTCTTAGATAGAGCCCCCAACATATGCTGATAGCTCTTAGACATAGAGTATTCTCCTTTTTTTTGACAGCATGTATTTATCTCCTTGATACCATCCTTCCATTTGAAGCTTAAGAGAGTTCAAATTCTTCCAATACCAGCAACAGTCTACTGGTGGTTGGTGTTCCCATATATTTTCCTTATTCATTATGTATATACTGTTAACCCATTTGACCCATAGTGTGTCTTTTTTCCTAGCTAATTGCCATAACGGTTTACCTACTGCAACAATGTTCCATTTACATCAGCTTTTGATGTTTAAATATCCATTCTATTTAGGAATACAGACCCTATCCCAAGCTACTAGGTTAACCTTTCTTTTGTCTTCAGTGGCACCCCACAAGAAGTCTCTGTATTTCTTGTCCACAAGATTTACCACACTTTGAGGCAGAACAAACACTGCACTCCAGAAGTTGTATATAGAGAATAGAACAGCCATTATTATTTGCAATCTCCCAGCATATGACAGTTGCTTTGTGTAAGCTGTGATTTTGCTTGTGATCTTATCAACTAGTTGCTTGCAATCCATCTTATTCCACTTCCTTGATGTAAGAGGAAAGCCTAGGTACCTTATAGGAAAGGTCCCTAACGTGAACCCAGTAATCTTCAGCATATTCTGCCTTGTCTCCTCATCAACCCCTGCTACAAACATGCTAGATTTGTCTATGTTTGCTTCCAAACCTGTGACATCACTGAAATGATGTAATGCCTCCATCACTCTAGCTATGGATTTCAGATTTCCTTTGCAGAAAATCATCAAATCGTCTGCAAAACTAAGTGAGTTAACTTTGTTTCCTACACATAGGGTGATATTTGAAGTCAGGGAGTTCACTCATCTTACCAAGAACCCTTGACAGATATTTCATACTAGAACAAATAATAGGGGTGAGATATGATCCCCTTTCCTAAGCCCTCTCTTGCCTTCAAAATAACCATGATTTTCTCCGTTAATTCTTATAGAGAACTGGGTTGTAGTCACACAAGTCATCACCAGCTTAGTGAATGAATCTGGAAATCCAAATCCTTTCAGAGCTTCCTCTATGAAATCCCAGATGATCATATCATATGCCTTTCTCAAATCAATTTTCATAAGGCACCTAGGAGATGTTTTCCTATTATAGTGTCTCAGTAAATCATGGCAGATAAGGACATTATGAATCAAAGATCTACCTTCAACAAAAGCTGCTTGGTTCTCAGCTACTAGTATTGATACAGCTTTCTTGAGCCTCTTGCACAGCATCTTGGAAATGCATTTGTATATGACATTGCAACAAGAAATTGGTCTGAATTGACTTGCAAACTCTGGGACTGGGACTTTGGGAATCAAAGATATTACTGTTGAGTTGACTTGCCTTAACAGTTTTCCATTCTCCATGAATTCCAATATTGCTGCAGTAACATCATTACCAATGATACTCCAAGCTTCCCTGTAGAAACCACTTCCATAACCATCTGGACCTGGACTTTTGTTCACATCTATACTGAACATAGCCTGTTTCACTTCCTTGATTGTGAATGGTTGTATGAGTTCCATCTGCTGTGTAGAATTCAGAGTAGTGCCATTCTTCAGAAAGCTATGAAATGCTTTAGCTCTTCTTCTTCCTTCCCTTCCTAGCATAGTTTCATAGTAGTCTACCAGAACATTTGATATGCTTACATTATCTGTTGCTAATTCCCCATGTTGATCCTTAATCTGTGTGATGGCTTGTTGCAGTCTTTTGTGCCTGATTACTGAGTAAAAATACCTAGTGTTGTCATCTCCTAGCTTAATTCAGCTTGCTTTGCTCCTTTGTAATAAAAACATTTCAGTTAGATAAGAGGAATTCCTAATTTCTGATACATCGCTATCTCCTGATCTTGTAAAGCTTTATTAGAGGGGTCAGAATGCAATCTATTCTGGACTCGGTTTAAAGCTGCCCTATCTTCCTCAGCCTTTGTTAAGATATTCCTGAAGTGCTGTTGATTGAGCTTCTTCAGTGCCTTCTTTAGTAACTTCAGTTTCTTAACTACTTGAAACATACTGTATCCTGCTACTTGTTGTTGCCATCCTTGTATTACAACCTCTTTAAACTGAGGGTGTAAAGCCCACACATTACAAAATTTAAAAGCTCTAGCCCTCTTCCCCCCTCCTGTATCTTTACTTATTCTCAGAGGACAGTGATCACTTATTCCCTCCACTAGATATGTAGCCTGAACCACTGGCTACATATTAATGTTAATGGTGCTTTTTTTCTTTATGATTCTTTCTTCTTCTTTTTTCAAGTATTTATGGGCTTGAAGTTTGAGTGTCTTTGAAAAATGACTAATTGCTTGAGAGAAGAAAATTAGTGAACGAATTAGAAGTATTGAATTCTGGTAATTGGACATATTGAGTCAAGGGAGTTGGAGAAACTTGGAAGAGAAAAAATAACAGGGCAAAGGCTGGAGTTGGCCAACTTTTGCTCAGAAGTGGGACCAAAAAATCCACTTGGCAAAGTTCTAAAGGAGTCTCATACAAGTTCTGTCTACCACATAATAGTTGAGTCTCATTCAAAATAAAACTTCTCTCGCATTGGTGAATCTGACTTATAAACGTATTTGGTAATTGTGCTATGCGTGTAACCAATCCATAGGTGCTAGTAGGGGTATTCACAAAAACTCAAAAAATCGAACCAAACCGAAAATCAAAGCTAACCGACCAAAAAACCTGATACTTTTTAGGTTTGGTTTGGTTTGGTTTTGAAATTTAAAAATCGATCAAATTTGGTTTGGTTTGGTTTTGGTTTTAATCAAAAAACAACCGAAAAAACCGAACCAAACCGACTATGAACATAGCTATTTAAATTTATTATCACCTATATATATGTATATTTTTATATAAAGTTTCTAAAATTTTATGGTACATATTAGTCATTTATATTTTTAGTCTAGTTCTTTGTTAGTTAATAATCTAATTCTTTGCCTTTACATTCTAGTTTGATTGGTAGTATTCTTTTGCTAAGTACAAGAATTTATTCGTGTTAAAAATAATTGATTTTTAATTAAGTACTTAAATTATTCATCGCTATTTGATTCAATTATCATCAATATCTTGGTAAACAATAGATTTCTCAAAGAGAAATTGACTTGATAGTATTATGTTGAAAATATAGTCGCCGGAATATGTGTTTGGTAGTGTATGTCTTATATTTAAGAAAAAACATGATAAATAACCGAAAAACCGACAAAAACCGAATCGATAAAAAACCGACTTCATTGGTTTTTTTGGTTCCAATATTTGAAAAACCGACGTACTTGGTTTGGTTTCCTTTTAGGGAAAACCGACCCAAACCAAACTATGAACACCCCTAGGTGCTGGTTTGAAGTCTCTATAAGGGTGCGGACCCCACCTGCCTAAAGGGCATCGTCATACCGTTACTTTGTTACTAACATTCAATATTAAATATCGTTTTTCTTATCTATCTACTACTGTAATTAGGGCTGGGCATATATCGGGTATAAGCGATAGCCTGAACCGATAAAATGCTATTGGGTTAAGGATATCGGGTAAATAGATCGATAATGGTTTAATGTTAATTGACTACTGGTTATCGGTTCGGGTCTCGGGTTGCCCAATTTTATTAACGGTT